ATATATTTCTATTTATAGGTATTTCTCTATATTTTGGCTTCTCATACTATTTTCTACCAAACTCTTTCTGCCCTGAACAGCCAAGCCTAGAGAACCAATTACAATCACGCTTCCCGATGGCAAAGCCGTAGACGGAAAGAGCTGGGAAACCACTCCCTTCGATGTCGCCCTGGGCATTGCCAAGGGGCTGGCTGACCGTACAGTGGTTGCCAACGTGAGTCTTACCTATCGAGATGGAGTTCTACCTACCAAAATTTGAAATAGAATTCAGATTTGTGCTATTTATAGATTTTTGTTTTGTACCGCGTCAAAATAGATTTGAGATTTGTGCTATTTATAGATTTTTTTGTATTGCGTCTATAAAGCGTGCCGGGGAGGTATTAACTTACAGGTGCTTATATGCCATAGTATTTTTTGTAATACAAACCAATGGCTAGTCGCACAGGGTCTCACATCTCATGAGTCTAAACATACACTTGAACATACGTGAAAGTGGAAGGTTTGGGTCAAGCGATAGACCTTCTCCCTATAAACTGGGGAGTTTACTTGTGTAGGTGTATATATGCAGCTGAGTGAACGTGTATGTGAATGTGCAATTTCGACTGCGTGCTCTGCTGTGTACCAGTGATTTACAGGTAAGCCTTTGCGTTAGACAGTGTGTGTGGTCTGGCCAAGCCTATGGCGAGTGCGAAGGTATACTAGGTGGACAATACACCTGTTTACTTAATACGTATATGAATATTTATTGTATGGTTTTGTCATTTTCTATATGAATATCGGCTAAGATGAAAGCTATCAGCTGAACCAACACAGACAGCTGCAGTATTCCTCATATTTCTATCGCGTGCATATATATTCTCGCCTTGTTGTCGATATGTACACCATATCACAGCAGCGTCACCTACTTCACATTTCAAACACCACTGCGACACGCCTATCTGTGTTATTGTATTCTATCTCGTTCAATTATTGTCCCGTTTTGTCCCGGAATTGCACTATTTTTAGGTCAACGGTGAGCTCTGGGACTTGGACCGCCCCTTCGAAGGCGATGCCAAACTACAATTGATCAGTTTCGATGACGACGAAGGCAAGCAGGTGTTCTGGCACTCGTCTGCACACATCCTTGGAGAAGGGCTAGAGCGTGTGTATGGTAGTTGTCTGTGCTATGGACCCCCTATCGAGAATGGGTTCTACTATGATATGTACAGCGAAAAGGATCCGGTCAAGGAGGAGGAGTACAGCGGCATGGAGAAGGTGGGATGGGTGTTTGTGTGGAGAGCAGATATTGTATATATATATATATATATACACAAATATATACATATTTATATAATTGCGTGTGTATGAATACATGTGCAAATGCTATATAGTGTTATTGATATGCAGGTATACTTTTGCTTACATACCCTCGTACATCTTAGCACACGCGTAAAGTATGTTTGCACTTACTCAGGATACAACTGAACTGTTGAATTTTTTTAGAGCTCCCTAGAGCGAAGAGTGGATCATAAGCATGCACACTTCTACGAGCTATCAAGGACAATAAGCTCTCAAATATACGAATATATATTGCGAATGGTCGCATGTATCGGTATAGGCAAATATACCAAGGTGCATCACTACACTACCATACTATTTCCAGCTAGCAGCTACTCTACTGACAATTATCATGTCCGTAAAGCATCGTTCCTGTCGATCTCTTTGTGCTAATGAGTGTGTACAGCTGTGCTCACGCGTATCCCCTTTTCGGCACCCCATCCCGTCTGCAGGTGTGCGAGGGTGTAGTCAAGGAGAAGCAGAAGTTTGAGCGCCTGGAGATGACCAAGGCGGATTTGCTGGAGATGTTTGCGTACAACAAATTCAAGGTACGTATGTATTTTCGGGACCATCGTTGAATAGCCAGCCATTTGCTCTGTGCTGTATGTAGTACTCACACACACCCGCGAAAGTTTAACACATGTCTGATATTATGCCCGTTGATTGTGGCACCGATTGTAAGTCTGTAGTATTGTGCACAATTTATCACCCAGAAGTTGGGTTGAGTTTCGTTGGTTGTTGAGTACTTCATGACACCTTTAAAAAATAAGAAACTTTTTGCACAATACCCGCAATGCTGATATGTAACGGATCCTAATCCAGAAGCAATACCTGTATAACTATACCAATATTGGTATAACGTTATAAGTATAACGTTCTTCTTCTATATCCAATTCACCAACAGTCATTAGTCTAACTGTATGAATATTAGTATAACGTTATAAGTATAGCGTTCATTTTCCATATCCAATTCACCAACGATTCAGATGCGTAATCAGTCTAATAATACCAAAGTAAGCCTAACGTTATACGTGCAATGTTCTTATTCTATGTCCAATTCACCAACAGTCATTAGTCTAACTGTACGAATATTAGTATAACGTTATAAGTATAGCGTTCATTTTCTATATCCGATTCACCAACAACAATTCGTGGACCACCTTCGTCAGGTGCGCATCCTGAACGAGCGAGTGGACACCCCCACCACTACCGTCTACCGTTGCGGCACTCTCATTGATCTCTGCCGTGGGCCACATGTGCGTGATACAGGTACGTCTACATGAACGTATTTCCGCGTGTGGGTGTATGTGTGAACGTATATGTATTCCGGTGTGTGTGTGCTTGTGTATCTATTACCGTATGTGTGTCCCATGTATTTTAATATGTGCGTCCGTGTTTCTATGTACATATGTGTATATGCACGTACATATATGCTTCTGTATATATGTAGTTTCGTTCTGTATATATTTAGTTTCGTTCTGTACATATGTGCGTATTTCTCCGTGTGTGTGCGAGTGTGACTATGTATGTATTTGATGGCGACGGGTATATGTGTACGCGCGTGTGTGTTTGTACTATATATATAAATATATATATATATCTATATATCTTTATACAAACATGTATGTATGTGTGTATGTGTGTATGTATGTATGGATATATATATATATATATATAGATATGTATATATACTACTATATATATATATATATATATATATATATTATAGTATATATATATATACTATATATATATATATATATAGTATATATTATACACGTGTTATGACGGTGCTTGCGTCACACAATAGTAAAATAGGGTAATGTAGCATGTAAGCACGATCTGCTGATGAGATTCAGTTCGACATACTACATGTGAATCATGCCACAAGGGCAGCAGAGCCCCGTCAGCAACATCTCGACACGCGTGAAAAGGATGCATGTGTATATTAACATACACATAGGCACAGGTATAAGCAGCGCAGAAGGACAGCGGACAGCAAGAGATAACATACCCCAGGGAAAATACTCGGACGATCCAAAAGCGGTACCCAAGTGCTTAATTGTTTCTAGCAGCGACTGGAAGTCACTCGCTGTTAAACAGTGATGGATGGTGAATAGGAAAGTGCGGTGGAGATTAGAGAAGTGGGAAGTGCAATAGACATTCAACCCATTTTACTAAGATGCAAGGACAGTGTGCAGAGATGAAGGATATGACACATTCGAACGAGTAAGTGCACATAACTGACATCGTATGAAACAGAAGGTTGCCTAGCATTTATAAAGATATATTCATATCGACACAGTAGATACACACAAATCTACAGGGACGTACTGATCGGAAAAGTCGCATACGCAATCATATAAAAGATTATGTACCAAAGTATTGCAGAACGACTCTGGAATGAAAACTTGATGCTTACCATCATCCACAATTTTGTTCCAGTGGCTGATGACCTTCTCGTTGTCACGGTAACCAGCCCTCTGCATCAAGCGCAGCTGGATATCCGTCATTTCTAATTGCTCGGCAAAGTTGTATAGCTGTACATGAAGCGTGCGACAATACACGTTTTTGTGAGTTGAAAATACGTTTTCGCACTTGTACACAAACGCTCACCAACAAATAAAAAGTCGCCCTACTCTAGCAGCGGATCAGATGCGCACGAGATCATAAACTCGTTGAATTATACGTTTGTTCAAGAAATTTAACATTTCTGTAGCACTAGCTGTGCATTCGTGCATTACGAGGGAAGTTCGGTACCCCACTTGCGACACGTGAACGACTTAACAACGTCATCGCAAGGCATACAATCCGACGCGAAGCGCTTGATGTGGAACTGGATATCATCCACTTGCTCACTTTTTACAAATGGTCCAAACACCATGGTAGTTGACTAAAATTTAACAACATTCCCAATGCATGTATCACTGACACATACTTGACAACTGTTAATGGTCTATACCTAAGGCATCTGTAAAAAGTCATCAGAGTCAGAGCACATACCTCCGAGATACCGTAGCACAGCCGTTGTAGTTGGTCTTTTATTTCTAAGTATTGCATGCGTTCTCCGTCGCTTTCTGTTGATCGCAGATCGTAGATGATGTCGTCCAGATTATTTGAGATGCACTTTTGTAGTTCCGCCAACTACAAAAAGAGATTATATTATAATTAATCAGCTATTTTCGGGAGTTGCCAGATAAAAATTTCTCAGTAAAAATACATGCCGAGTACTCCTGCTCTGCTCGTAGTATTGTTTGGGTATTTCCAGCGCACTGGGATTACGAATTTGTGGGCCACTTACTGTGGGTACGCAAAATGCTGCAAATATGCCTCAATACGCAAATGCAATATAGAATATACTTCGTATGTGAACTCCGAAAGTAGAATAAACTTTGAGCAGTTAACTGCTCATTGAAGGTTACTGGTGATTCCACTGAAAACAGTTTAACTCGATGCCACGTATAACGTAAGATTGGGATTAATGCATTTAGTGTTGTCAAAAAATCAAGAGTGGGATCCTCGGAACACGCAAACCAGATGATAACAGAAACATACCCGCCATTTATATATGGTAATATACACACGAGCATATGTATTCACACATAGGCATGTGCACCCGTCAAGCACGATAACCAAGACAGGCAATGACAAGTGACCTTAAAGTACACGCCTGCACGGGCGCAACCATCGAATTAAATAGATACACGTGTATATGTAAGTATATATAATATACGATCTCAGCACAATTCAACATAGGTCCCTCACGAGACTCCAAACTTACGTCGACACGACCCTCGGCCTCTGAGATGAACTCCAACACCTCTGGGCTGGCCTTAGCTGCACGTGCATACACCACTGCTTCACGGTACAGCGTCACTCGCTGCTCAATGTCTATCAGGCTGTTGATGATATGTGCGGGTGTGTGTATATTTATGAGACCATACGTAAAGCCACGCAAGTTGTCCATCTTTACGTGACTAGTAGGTGGGTAAGGCTGCGCGTAGAAAAAAAATATCTTATTTCCTCAGCCTGATGATGGCAATCGTATTTATATACATGTATACACTTACATATTTATATATATATATATATATATATATATGTATATTTGTATATATATATATTTGTATATATATATATATATATATATATATATATGGGAAACTCTGCGAACTACGTTTGTATGTGAACATTGGCCAGTTTAGGCTATTTGAGATCGACAAAGTTTAATTATAGCTAATTTAAATAGAATAGGCGTCTGTTTTGAGCTATTTCCGATTGATAAGACTTTTAAGAATGCAAGATCTATAAGCGTGCCAAATATCTATGGCACCATCGTCAAAGCACACTCAGGTAAGAGGGCACTTCAACGATGTTTTCTATTCTTAATATATATATATATATATACATATATAGATAAATATATATGTGTATATATATATATATATATATATATATATATATATATATATATATACATACATACATACATATACTACTATACTACTANATANATATANATATATATATATATATATATANANANANANANATAACTACTACTACGTACGTACGACGACGACGACGACGA